TTGCGCATATTTGATGAGTCTCGGCCACGCGGACCGTGAATGTTGATTTAGACATTGGTTTTTTCGTGTGTATGCTAATGTATCGCCACCCTGGGGCACTGTGGCGTTTATTATGCACGTTACACGCACCTCTTGTCACACCCAAGGTGTGTCGAATTCATTGATCATCGTTGGAACGTTGTCCTTCCCCCCCCCCCCCTGGAATTTTATCGTCGTTGAAATTACACCGTGCCTACCGTGTTCCAAATATCTTTCTCAGACTGTTGAAGCGACGATTGGTTGTGTGCACGCTTCAATACGATCAATTTAATCGACAATTTGCATCCGGGCGAGAGTGGGCCACTGAAATTCGATCACGGGAGACTGCTTTCCAACAATGGTTCACATCTATTATTTCATTCGCGAATCGACCCTCGTTAGCGTAATTTTCTTTTCGCTGATCGCCAGATGGTTTCGCGAGTTGAGCACGTGCGTCCACCGGTGTGCACGCTAATGCGCAGCTAACAGGGACCACTAGTGTGTACACTGGTATCCACTAATAGGGGACACACTTCGCCGTGATAATAACCAATTACGTCAACGAGGCCGGAGGGCATGACCGTGACGTTTCGACGAGCACCGTTGCTACTTTGACAACAGCCTGTTATCACGCTGAATCGTCCAAATCTTCCTTCTGCCGGTGCCTAATTTTACGATTTCGAGGTTATCGACGATTCATCCTGGGAGAGAAATTTCATTTTTTAAATTCTACCGTGAAATTGTTTGCTTTTTTTTGGAATATTTTGGTAGGTTTGAGAGTAAAGCTGTTGAGAATTGCTCTCGAGAGTCAAATTTATCAGAGCACACAATTTGAGAGTACTCTCGAGAGAAACTGTCGTAAACAACTCTCAGATAGACAGGTTCCTTGGAACATAAGCGTTAGGAGGCTGCGTACGATTTTGCAAGATACGTGTTGGGATGCTGCATATCATAGGTGTGCGCGTGACAAAAGACGAGTGTGAAAGGAGAGCCTGTTTGGTAAGATGTTGCGAGCGTTCGGTTGCTGCCAGAGCTGATCCCCTGATTTTCCTTTTCCTACGAATACGATTTTGGCGATCTTCGAAATTTCTGATTCCTCGGAAATCGTCGTCACAGTCTTCCAGAAACTTTCATACCTTTCTCGCGAATCCTAGAAACGTCGATCGTGTGTTTCTTCCAGTTCGAAGCTAAAGAATCGTCGGTCGACCGAAGGTTAGATCAGGTTGCGACGTCTGAATTTAGGAAGCATATAAGTACATATGTTTCACGGGTGAGTCACGATTTAAATTTGTCGCGTTCAGGTTTCTCTCACAGCTGATTCACAGTCAAAGGTAAACCTCACGTGTGAGTCGAACTGCGACGACGAGAAAAAGAAAAAAACGTGGATCCAATGATTTGCAACGGGGTTGAGTCAGTGGTAATTACACGCGTCCATCTCGTCAATTATACTAGTTCAGCGTCGCTCATTCATGCGACGTCGATTGTAAGATTCGTCGTTTTCTTGGTAATTTCTCGCGGTTTCTCTGGAAAAAGAACGCGTGGTTTGTGTGTGGTTACGGAGGAACGTTCGCGTCGATTCATTCGTAAAAGTGTGACGACCTTCGTGGCTATCTTGGTTATGATTATTGCCGTGAAAATGAGGCGAACAGGCGTGTAATGAAAGTGTTTTTCTAGTAATTACTCTTTTTCTTTGCGCGACGAGGCGCTATGGTAATTTCATCGTGAGAAAGGTGAGCCTCTTACGGTCGTTGCACGACGAGATTATCCTTTCTCGCATTTCATCGCTTATGTCACAATGGTTAAACATCTCGTAACGTCCACGGACAATTTTTTTTGCCAACCTTTGTACGAAATGACACTTGCCACCGTTTCTTCCCGTTGACGAATGAATTTTCGAGCTCGTAGATTTCTGCTGTTTGCGAACAGAAAATATCCTTTATTCGCGGAGATTTCAGGTCTTTTTGGCTCAACTGGTAATTTTCGCAAATTTTGAGAATATTCTGGAATTTCAATTGAATCAATCTTTGTCAGCGTTTCGCCTAGTCCCCAATTTGCGCCTCGAGCATGATTCATCAAAGGCTGAACTTGGTGTCAATTGACTCACAAGTGAAGAAAGATTTGCTTCGGAAAGTACAGTTTATATCTCTAAGCTCTCGAAGAAGGATTCTCGATCGAAGGAAGAGTCTGGCGATTCCAAGTGTGAATAGATTGCTCGTAAGAGATACTGCCTAGCACAATCAGCATATCAGACCGAGGACAGACCTAGAAGAGGATGTCGCAATTCGCGTTGCAAGGTGATACGCTCCGACGTTCTTCTATCCTCACGCCACGGCTGTCATTCTAGACAGTGCTCATTGTCGTCCAGACAATAGCTGTTTTGAATAAGAAATGGAGAGATTCGCGATAACACGATTGTAGAATGCGACAAAAAAATCATGACGTGCAATTGCACTCGGTTAACCTGACGTAATACGGGTCGTTGACGCCGCCAGACCCACGACATCGTTTCCTAGACGTTAAGAACACTTTGTGTGGAACATTATCTTCTAAGAATGTCCCTCTGCTTTCTCCAAGAATTTCTCGAAAATCACAACTTTCGACAGCGATACGAAATTTCTACTAAAACTGAAAATTTGAGGAAAAAGAAAGATAGATAGATCTTCGATACTTTGTGGATTAAAATTTCGATTCGAGGTATCGAATAGAGACTTCCAAGCTCCTTGCAACCTGAATCAGGAGAAGTGTGTTGTAAGGACAGGGTTAGATTTGGTGTGAAAAAAACGTTCTCAAGGTGGAAGATTCTCAGCATGACATAAACAACTCTTTCACTCTCGATCTCGAGAGCGAGATGCAAGAAGAAAGCCCGTGGTTCGCAGCGAAAAGAAGGACACGGACCGTGCACTTGCACGGAGTTACGTGCCTGAGGAACTCGATAGCCGGTTTAGCGTGTTTCGCGTGGTGTCATGGTTCGTGTGTGTGTGGAAACCTGGAGCCCACGAGGCGGGGACGAAGAGAGAAGAGGCCGGGCCGAGATTAAACAATTGACTGGCGTGATAACGAGGGCACTTCCCGCCACTAAACTCATCCTGTCGTGTCGTCTAACCTACGGCTCTCTGGATCCACTTAATCCTCTACTCATCCATCTGCCCTTCAGCCATCGCGCGTTGCATCATAACGTGGAATATCAGGACGCGTAGTCAGCGATGGACTCCTAAATTCTCCGATGCTTAGTCTTTCGAGGGCAATCTGGGTCATTAGTGACCCAGAGGAAATTTCAGTCTTGAAATGGTTGAGATTTGCTAGAAAATTGACTATTCTTCTTTGACTTATGTTGATCGACTTAGGATCGACTGTGTGTCTTCTTGAAGACACCGAGTATATGAGATTGTTGGTGGAGCATGGTTGAGTTGAGTTTCGGAATGTGAAATATTTGATTCGTACGACGAATGGAGGAGAATCGCGGGTTTAAATTGAACGAAAGGGATCATTTCTTTTAGCTTATCGCCATTAAGATCGTTCTGCCGTGTGTCATGTAACTGACGATTTCCGGACTCGTTTAACCTCATCTCGCGTGTACACGCTCGCATCTACCGAGGCGACGAGGTTCGTTCGTCGTAATTCCTGGCGAACTTTACGCGTGTGCGTAGAAAATGAAACTTCTCGCTTCTCACGTTCGAATCGACGCGAAAGAAAGAAAAAGAAACATAACGATCGTCGATCGGAGCTTGTGTATACCTTTTTTCCCCTCCTTTCTCAAAGGCCAGACTACGTCTGACCTTTCTCTCCGCTTAATTGACATTTCTGAATCGTATCTCTGAGTCAGCTAATCTAGCCTTGCATAAAATCAGCCCGAGTGAAACGAGAAAGAAGAGAAAAAGAAACCGGCGCTGATAGCATCTACACAGATCTAGTTCTAAATCTGTAATCGATTTAACGCTATTTATAGCGTTGCGTGTACAACACGTTCGACGACTATTGAAACGCGAGTGACTCACGGTCATTCAAGACACTCAAGTAAGATCGATCGATCGAGCGTCGCAGATCTGGACTCTCGCGATCGAGCGATGGGACGGGCGAAGGTGAACGATCAGAAACGGGGAAAAACGAAAGGCGGGGACACTTCGATGGTGTCCAGAACCGGGCCGGATGCTGGTTAGTTAGGAGGACTCAAGCCAACGACGCATATATGTATGAAAACTACGCGACATGACGTCTTTGTGTCCCAGTTAGGACAATTTAGAAGCCCAGTCTACGGTGAAGTCGCGAGTTGTGTTTTAAGAGGGCACGATCGTTGCAAATCACCCGTGGAGTAATTGATCCTCCTCCTCCTCCTTCGCCTCCTCCTTCACCACCGCCTCCTCTCGAAAGCAATTTGCCAACGTGAAATTGAAACCTCGAGCTTCGCGTCGCTAGCAGGTACATACATCGACAGAGAAACGGAAGCTCATCGATTAAACTGTCCGGGGATTTTTGCTTCTGTGCACGCCTCCCCGTGAGCACACTGACGTAAATGGTTAACGAACCGTGGCTGGGGCTCGCCGATTGACTTAACGCGCGTTACAGTGGAGGTAAAATGCGTTGGCCGGTGAAGAACAATTTTCAGAAGCCCTGTAGAGCGACATTAGCAACAGGTGGATGAGATCATGAGGGATGATTGCACGTGAAGAAATTGAAATTGATAGATCGTATCTTGCGCGAGGGAACGTTTGAAATTGTTACAATCCTTTTTTCTTCTTCTACTGGCGAGTGTAATTCAACGAGAACTATCTCTCTAACACACAAGCACAATGACAGTAAAGTGTCGAAGAATTAAAAGAGATCTGCATTGATTTTGTTAATCGTTTATTTTCATCGTGAAAGTCACCACCAGTTTTTTATAGAACACCCTGTGTATCAGTCTGTTGGAAATATCCTTTATCAACCAACGCATTTTCATACGGAATTTAACGAAACTAACGAATCTGTCGGCCCTTTTTGCTCACCTACACTTGTTCCTGAGGACCCCTATTACGAGGATGATGATTCGTCTTGGATGAATCGATGTCCAAATGATCGTGTCGCGCAAGAGACACCTTAGAGATCGTTGGTTCTATGTTTATCACGTGGTCGTCGTCGCCAAGAATGAAGCTGGTCTTTTTCTGCGGCTCTTTCGACTTATGGTTGTCGCCTAGGCTCGATCTCCTCGAAGAGGGAAAGGGATGAGGTGGAGGTTCGCGATATTCCATTGTTTCGGCGAACGTGGTATGTCTGAATTGATGAAACAGGCATAAATTAGCATTTTTACCAAGTTTATCGTACGTTCTACAATACTGCGACAAAAATTTTCGTATCTTATAATTATCAATATACGGTGAAAAATTAAAAAATTCCTCAAAACACGTATCTCTTTATCCTCGTTTCGGTTCGTTGTTTATATAGAAATATTTACGGAAATGGACAAAATAATATACGTGTCCAATATTTTCTCTTCGTCTACGGCGTTTAAAGGTTTATAAAGTAATTGCCTGGGATCTAAATGCTGGCGCGAGGGAGATCTTGGCGGAGGGTTGATCACGATTTGGTCCATGGTTGTTCTGGAGGCAGATCTTCTCATCACATCTCTGGACTCGCTTTTCCTCGAATCCAAAGTGCATTTCGACGGTTCTCTGTGAATTCTCCTGTCCTCTTTCATAGGTCCTCGACTTTTTCTCAACGTCGCGTTGATATCTTTTAACACGCGATTGTAATCCTCCTGGTTACTCGATTCCTCGTGATGGTGACTCAGTGGATGAGGCTCGCTGTCCGAAAACTGCGAACGAGACCGAGAAAAATTCCTTACATTTTGTCTCGAGGTCTAGATAAATTTCAAAATATAGAACAAATAAGGAAAACTTGGAACGAAGAATACACTTGGAAGTTTACAAGGATTCGATGGAGGAATAAAAAATTTTTCCTCAAATTCCTCGCTAATAAACATTCCATCCGGTTGTTCGAAGTCAGGGAGAAAAGAAAAATAGGAACTCGCGAGTTCATCAAACTCGAGAATCATTATTTTGCTCTCATCTAGAGGAGGAAACTCGGTGTGCATACCATCGTCCAAAGAGTCGATTAAAACGTCCTCTAGAGAGAGAGCGTACCTCGTTCTGTGTGTAAAATATCGGCTGTTTCGCGTCTGTTTGCACACTTTGCATGCTCTCGCGTCGCAGGGAGCCGTCAGGGCCGGTGATCATAACTGGAATCGGAGTCAGTGGCGTCATCGGCACGTTCATGTGCAATCCGCCGGTGGACGAAGCCAGGCTCGAACCGGATCCGGTGGTCAAAGAACTGCTGGACGCATCGCGATAATGAGGGAAACCACTGCTGCTCATACGCTCTGAAATCATTGCAGAAATATTATGAACGTCGCCAAGGGGGAATTAATCGGGAGAATCGAAAAATTCGCGGCAGGAATCTGGTTTCTTTAGAACCAGTCGCAATTTTCCACAAGCTATCTCTTGGAATACTTTGATTTTTTACTGGTCAACCCTAGGAAGAATCTTGAAAGGTTCGATTTCATTTCTGTGACAGAAATTTAGTGTAAAACTTCGTAGACATATTTTCACCCTTTCGCGATTTTTTCTTTGGGAAAGTAAATACTTCTTCAGAGTTTTTATTATTATAATAGAGTATAATTGCATGTAAGAGTCTTGGAAATTTTCTTGGAAAATATCGAAGGATAGCAAAGGTATAAAAACAATTTTTGCGACTCTTCAGAAAATTTGAAAATTTTGAAATCGAGCGAAAATTTAAAATACACTTTAACTAATTGTGTCTCGTTAATTTTTGCATTCTGATGTTTGACGTTATCGGCGACCAATTAACGATTAACGCGTAAAAGTGTCGTCGCAACGGAATCCCGGCCGATTGAAGCAAATTGGCACCGGCGAGAATGGCGAGTGCCAAACGGTCGACACGTGGCAAAAGTTGCGATACACAATATCACGATGCAAAGCATAGTTTGCGTCACGATGTGTCTCGTGCCGTGACCAGTATCGCCACAGATTCAATAAACTTGATTCATGTTAATCGAGGTCAATTGCATTTCTTCGACCGATGCCTCGATCGAAAACGATGGATCGTAGACGATGGAAAAGTGTCTTGGAAGACTCGACGACGAATTTCACAGAGCACATTTGCCGGAACTTTGGAAAAAGAACCTTTTCCTCCGTACCTCCTTTCGCGCGTTGCATCGCTCGAATTTTGTCCAGATCGGCCGCTGAACAGAGTGGTGTGTCAACCTCGTACGTGTTATTAAAAAGCGTATAATTCACTTCGTACTCGCCGGTCTCCTTTTTGAAAGTAATTATATGCTCGAATCTGTGACCCCATAAAATTTCAGACGGCAAGTAAGAGCTTCTGGCCTGAGTGGTCATGCCAGTCGACTCGATCACACCTGAAATTACGGCAATTTTTAGTTGCTTCGACACTCGTGTGGCACGAGGTCTGATGATACGGTTTCGAGAATAATTTGTTGCAAAATTTCATTTTGAAAATTAAACAAACATGAGAATTCCAAGTTTGTCCTCTTGAAACGATACTCGTTTTATATTATTTACATCGATATCAGCGTTACTGTGAATTTCAGAAATGAAGAGAAAACGAGTTCCATTCGTGATTCTTCTTATTCGAGGAAATAAAAAGACGAGAGATGTTCGAAAATTGTGATTTTCAGGTCGAACTCGTTTCTCTCGATCGATAATCACCTTTTTCCCTCACCTTCGTTACTTCGATGGTAATAAAATTATTCTCGAAACTTGAAACTTCGTCGTCACACCAAAGTATTCATATTTCCCCATTTTTAACGTACCCTCCAATATCACCACAATCTCGAATCGTTCTCTCAGCATATCGCTGGCCGATATGTGATAAAGGGGCGACTGTTCGTCGATCTTGTGCACGATGGTAGTTGGCCAGATAAAGAAAATCTTGTCCTCTTCGCCATCGCCGCCCACTTTCAGCTCCGTCTGGAAGAACGGCAGCAATTCTCCTTCTCTGGTAACCTGCAAATTTAATAGACACTCTCAAAACATGGGTTATGCGAATTATTTGCCCGTAGATAAGAATAATAAATGGGTCGGATTGAAATAGACAGGCTTGTTTACGATCACCGGGAGATTCGATTATATTTCGTGGAAATGTAGGGACCAACCTTCCTTTTGATCATTTGCGCTCTGACGTGAGCCTCGATGATGTGGCTCTTTCTCATATCGCCGACACGGAACATCAGACAAGGCTGGCCATCTCTCTGACAGATCACCGCGTTCCTCGAAAACAGCAGCGTCTGTGTTCTCTTCTTCGGACGGGAGAGCTTGGCGAAAACTATGCCGACCATGAACGCCTGCAGGATCACACCTGTCATCGATTGGATGCATATCACGAACACCGCCTCTGGACACTCGTCTGTAGGATGTTTCGAGCCGTACCTGCGATATTTGTCATTGTTAGAGAGAGAATTCAAGTGGAACATGGGTGAATATTAGAGTTCTCGCGAGACTCTAGTTTCAGATGTTTGTACGAGACGAGATAGATACGTCGACGTTGGTACCGTGGAATTTTCTAATATTGTATTGATAACTGGAGAACGTACCTGTCTGGTTCACGAATCAATCTTCTGATATTAGGGTAACGTGAAGTTTGGAGGGAAAATAGAATTGACGTGATGATTAGGAGAAAATTGTATGGTAGTTGAGATGTACGCTAAATTTCTGAAGATTTGGATCTTTTGAAAATTGTTTATAGAGTGAATTTGTGGGTAATGTTTAGAGTACCTCTTAACTTATCTGTGAATAGCTAATTCCATTGATTTGTAAATGTTTCCTAAACTTCTTAGATTTTTTTGTTTTTTTTAAGCTACGAAGTTTATTTAGGGAACCAGCTTGGATCAATATCATAAGTACCTTGTTATACCTGACTTTTTCACATCAATTCAGTTTGCTATTCGTACTCTTCTGCTTCGTTAGAATTCGCAACAAAAATTACCGACAATCGCAGCGATTCCCCTTCTCTATTATACTCTGAGCAGTTAGCTGAACTAATTTAATCGAGGAGAAAACTTCTTCCAAAGCGGCTGTGCGGTTAATAGCGTCTGAAATTCGTTCGAATCACTGATCCGACATAAGATATTCTGATGAATAAAAGTGTCTAGTCACCCGATCGTGTGTTGTGTCTCGATGGAGAAGAGGAAGGAGCTGGTGAACCCTCGGATGTCCACGATGCATGGTGTGAAGGTGATGTTCGGATTGTTGTAATTCTCTGGATCGAGATCACCGTGGCTGTAAGCTATCAGCCACCATATCAACGCGAAACCTAGCCACGACAGAAGAAAGTTCATGGAGAACACCAGCAGGGTCCAGCGCCATTGTGCGTCCACCAGTGTCGTGAAAATATCCTGAAGAAGTGGGAAAAGAATTGTAAATTTGAGAATATTAAAGTTTGAGGGTATTAAAATTTGGGAATATTCAAATTTGGGAATATTCAAATTTGAGAATATTAAAATTTGGGAATATTCAAATTTGAGAATATTCAAATTTGGGAATATTAAAATTATGGAATATTAAAGCTTGAGAATGTTAAAATTTGAGAATATTAAAATTTGGGAATATTAAAATTTGAGAATATTCAAATTTGGGAATATTAAAATTATGGAATATTAAAGCTTGAGAATGTTAAAATTTGAGAATATTAAAATTTGGGAATATTAAAATTTGAGAATATTAAAATTTAGAATATTAAAATCTGAGAATATTAAAATTTGAGAATATTAAAATTTGAGAATATTAAAATTTGGGAATATT